CATCAACAGCAGGATAGACAAACACATGGTGACATATTTACATGATAGAATACTCACATGCAGTGGTGAAAATAAACCACCTACAAATATATCCAATAACATGGGTAAATCTTACAACCAAATGTTGAGCCAAAGAAGCCAGATACATGGCTAGGGTGCAGTTCAATGGTAGACATGTGCTTATTATGTGCAAGGTCCTGGGCTTGATCTCCAGAGCACTCCCCCACCCCCCAAAAAAAAGACAGACACAAAGTACATACTTTTTTAAAATGTATTTTTTAGTTGCAGTTGGACACAATACCTTTATTTCACTTTTTTATTTATTTTTTCATGTGGTGCTAAGGATCAAACCCAGGGTCTCGCACAGATGAGGCGAGTGCTCTACCACTGAGCCACAATCCCAGCCTCCAAAAGTACATACTTACATGAAAGTCAAAATGGTGCAAAATAGACCTACTTTGCTAGGAGAAGGTTGATGTTTACCTTCTGGGGCTTCTAAGTACAGCTAAGGTTTTTCCACCAATGCTCTGCCAGATGCCAGGTACACGGCTATGTTTGATTTGTGCAAATTCATTGATTATGACTTGAGTACATTTTTGCAAGCATGTTATACTCCAGTGAAAAGTTAAAAAAAAAATGGACACATCGTCTCCCATCATGTATCCTCTCTTTTTAGGGTTCTCTCTTTCAGAGAATGGCCTCAACTTTCCACTCAGTTGTCCAAATCAGAAGTTTGGGTGATATTCTCCTGAACACCCTCCCTACAATCCACACCCAACCCTCTCCATAGCTCTGTGGTCCCCACCTCCTTGCTCTCTCTCACATCACTGCTCTCTACCACCTGCCTCTTCCTTAACCCAGGCCACGTATCCCTCTTGCTTGAATTATACAGTGGCCTCCTATATGGGCCCTTAGCCTCCAATCCTGTCACCTGAATGCTCTATCCCCACACTGAGGTCAGAGAGACTCTTCTAAAATGAAAATCTGATCATGTATCTCCCTTGGTTAAAATATTTCAATTGTTTCTCCCAGCCTCTATATAATCTCCCACTTCTGGCTGCTAGTTCTGAGCTCTGGGCCCCTGACCCCACCCGCTTCACCTTTAGACACCTGTCCCCAGGCCATCCTCCAGGGGGGACCCGAGCTTTCAAGCTGACTATTCCAGTGGCTGGGAGCACCCCCCCTCCACCTCTGCCTTTCCAGGCCAAGTCCCATACATCCTCCAGGTCTCACTTCAGGTCCCCTCCTGACCCGGAGAAGGGTTGGGCCTCACTGGGTAGTCACAGAAATGTGTTCTACCCTTGTCCCAGCACACATCACACAGTAGTGAAACTATTTGACTATGTGTCCATTTTTCCTCTTGGAACCCGGGATCCATGGAGGTGGCAAGGTGTCTGGTTGGTCATCACATCCCCTGACACAGTCTGACACAGCATAGAGGCACCATGAGGATTCACTGTGGATGAGGGACTCTGGAAGGAGGTCCAGCCTGCAGAGTGCTAGAGGCTGGAGTGTATCTTTGAGGGAGTTGGTGAGAAGATAGCGAGGAGGTCACCCTTAAGCTACAGGAGAGTCCTGGAATTTAGAATCAGAATATTAAAGCTAGAAGGGACTTCAAAGGCCATCAAACAATCCACTTTTTTTATTTACAAACGAGAAACTCCAGGGAAGGAACACTGGCTGGACAAAGATGGGCGGTCAGAAGGGGTAAGGGAAGCCAAGGGGTATTGATGGTGACGATGGAACTGAATAAGTAAATAGATAACATTCCTTCTGTGAGGGATGGCCTTGTCCCCTGCAGGTGGCCCACTTCGGGTCTGCCCAGTGGAGCTGGACACTGCCTCATGATGACCACTAGATGGCGCCAGCTCCCAGGGCAAGGGAGATAGCAAGGCCTGGCCTGTTCACCTTGGGCTTGGTTCCTCCTTTGAGTTCCTCCCCTCAGACAGAGCCAGCCCAGTTCCTGTGATGGTTCCTAGGCTGCATGATACCTGGGCTCCAGGGACCAGCTTGCTTCAACAGGTACCTTTCTGCCTGCCAAAGCCAGGGTGGGCAATGGACCTTGTTTGGACATCAGCCAGCGCTGCCCTCTTTCCCTCCCACCAGCCTCCCAGAGGCACTGGCTGCCCTGCTTCACCCTTCCACCCAGGGCAGGCCTCCAGCCAACACTTGCTCATCTTGTTAGCCCAGGTGAGGTCCAGTGGGTGGCACTGGTCCCACTGCATCCTTCAGTTACCTCTCCCACCCAGCTGTTGGTGGTTCCATTCCGGTTGGTCCCTCAATGGACCCACTCAGGATGCCCCATTTAGGAAGTCATTCCTCTTTTGGCCCTGGAGTCTTCTGCCTGGCCCATTCCTCCTACAGACATGGCTCAGCCTCAGCCAGGGGTTTGCCAGAGCAACACCAAGATGGTTCAGTCCCTCTTTGGTGTCAGAGATTCTCATTTAGACACTCAACAAATACCTACTGAGCACTGTCTTAGGGATCTGGAAGGCAGCAGAGAACAGGAACAGCAGTCCCTGGCATGCAGTGCAATGGGGGACAAGATGTTAGCATGACTTCACCAAATAATTGTTCCTTTAAGTCCCTAATGTTGCAGTTTCAGTCCCTTTCTAGAACTCTTAGAATTTCCTGAATGGGCTAGGCATACCTGTAATTCTGGAAACTCTGGAGATCGAGGAAGGAGGATTGCAAGTTTGAGGCCAACTTCAGCAAATTAGTGAGGCCTTAAGCTACTTTGGGAGAACTGTCTCAAAGTTAAAAAAAAAAAAAATTAAAAACAGGAGGAGGCTAGGGATGTGGCCCAGTGGTAAACTGCCCCTGGGTTTAATCCCCAGTTCAAAAAAAAAAAAAAAAAAAAAAAAACACCAGAATTTAGAAATTATCCTCATGCGACCCACCACCACCACCACCACCCCCTTCAGGCTTCCAGATTTCCAGGGCTGAGCTCATTGACTACTGGGGAGCCACGGGTTGGGTGGGGTCAGAGGCAGAAAGCATGAGGCTTCTGAGTCACCTGTTCCTTCTGCTCTCAGTTGAATGAATGAAATGAACCTGAGACACGGCTTGCCCGACGCTGTCCCTTCCCTCTGGGGAGTTGGGGGCTCCAAGCAGGCCTTGGCTGCCTCTCCCGCTCCCATCCTCCCTCAGAGGGGAGCCCGCCCGCCCAGTGCCCTTCCTGCCCCGAACGCCGCAGGCTCTCTGGGCTCCCTCTTGGCACCAGAACAGAGGGCATCCAGAGCGGGTGGCAACTCGCCCCGCCACGGGCTCAGAGCGGCTGGCGATAGGCGCTGGGGGGACGCGCAGATAGACAGACAGATAGCGCTCCCCGCGCCCGCGCCCGCCCCCACCTTTCCCACGCGGCGGCCTCCCGGGGCGGCCCAGGCCAGGAAGGCACTCGCTCCTGCCCCTGGGCCTCGACCGCGACCCTCTGTCTCCGCCAACAGCAACTCTCAAAGTTCTTCCAGCCTCAGCAGAATGCCGCGGGCTCTGGCCTTGGAAAGGGGCACAGGGGCTCTGCACACTTCTCCGTCTACGCAAGAGACCCCTCCGGGTTCTGGGCTAGACACCGGACTTGGGGAGGCGCCAAGCCCAGATGTAACCACGAGGTGGCGCGCTGGCACCGCGTGTCCTCGCTGGCACGCGTTGGCCAGGAGAGTGCAGGACGCAGAGACACGAGAATGGCATGGGGAAGAAGTGGGCAGGAAAAGAAGTGAGATTGGTAGAAGGTCTTCCTCCCTCCAAAGAAAGGTGGGGGTCAGAAGTAGGGGTAGAATGAATAAATGGGCTAGGTGTCTGGAACAGCTAGGATGACCTAGGAACTGGGCTTTGTAGACCAAAGAGGACAAGGCTCTGGGGATTCTCAGGTAGGGAACCCTTCATCCGGAACTCCATGATGCAAAAGAGATCAATGTAGCATCATGACTTCCCCTATTGGGGACTGGGAAGGTACTGAGAAGTCTATACACATCTGCACAGCAGCTCATTCTCATTTCCCATGCCCCCCAACCCCTACCCTCCACTGCCAAACTTTTTCACATACACGCCTGCATTCTCTGAACATCCCTGTACACTGTGGAACACACCCCCAAGCACTCCTGTCCCATACATTTGTACCCTAAAAATGCCCACACTCCTCACTGCTATCCCATACTGCACAAAATCTGCCCCTAGACTTCCTGAAGCACACAGAGAGTCAGCCTGTGTCCTTACTAACCATATGGGGACACCAGGTCCCTTTCTCCTTCCATTCAACCTGTGCTATCCCTGAAACTGTGCACAGGTAGTTTGGGAGATAGCTCTAGCATAACCCCCATCCTCCCCATCAGCCCCTAAATTCACACAGCCTTGCCCCTGTAGGATCCTCCCAAAGCCAAATGATTACTTTTGTAGGCCCAAGGTGCTTTTGCAAGGTGGGTCCCTGCTTCCATACATTTTTTTAAATTACATTTTATGACTGAATGGCTATAAAGATAACATATGAATATAGTCAAACATCTTTTTAACCCAAAAGAAGTAATCTTTTTTCCTTCTGATCTTAAGAGAGATTAAAACATTTTCATGAACCTTGAGTCCTTATCACTTCATCAACTGACACTTGCATAGCGCGCGGGCACACACACACACACACACACACAGAGGATCATCTTGGACCACCTCCTTCCACAAACACCCAATGGTTAAATTCCCCTCCTTCCCCATTGCACCTAAGCCCACCCCCAGCCTAGAAAACAGATGAAGGATACTTGGGGCTCTGCAAAGTCACCCCTTCCCCAGAGTTTATCTGGACTAAGAAGATAGAAGGAGCAACTGTGTGTGTGTGTGTGTGCGCGCGCGCCTGCGTTTTGGGTAACAACAAAGAATGGGGGGGGGGGGGGGCGAGCAAGAGAGCGAGAGCGTGTTTTGCCTCTAAGGCAAGACTTGCAGCCAATCAGCGCGCAGGAGCCTCCCTCTGCGACTCCAACATTGAGTCTATAACCGGCTGGCCGGGCGGAGCTGGCAGCATTTGACTCTGGCTTGGGACGCGAAGAGAGGCGCGCAGCGAAAGCCCGACTGACTGGCGATGGTCTGAGCGCCCCTCGGCCACCCCCTCCCCCGAGACGCGACCCGGCCCTCCCCTCGCCTTGTGGACACACACACACCCAGCCTGGTCTCCTCCGACTTCTCAGAGCTCCTCTCCACTTCGGCGCTCCTCGGCGGAGGCCAGCCCGGGGGAGGTGCGGCGCCCGCCAGCATGAGTGGCTCCTTCGATCGCAAACTCAGCAGCATCCTCACAGATATCTCCAGCTCGCTTAGCTGCCATGCGGGCTCCAAGGACTCGCCCACCCTGCCCGAGTCTTCCGTCACGGACCTGGGCTACTACAGCGCTCCCCAGCACGACTACTACTCAGGCCAGCCTTATGGCCAGACCGTGAACCCCTACACTTACCACCACCAGTTCAATCTCAATGGGCTCGCGGGCACTGGCGCTTACTCGCCCAAGTCGGAATATACCTATGGAACCTCCTACCGGCAATACGGACCGTACCGGGAGCAGCCGCTGCCTGCCCAGGACCCAGGTGAGGACCAGGGGATCGCCGGGAGGGTCGGAGACCCTAGAAGGTTCCCGCGGGAGACAAATGCGGGGGAATGGAAACTTAAATCTAGACCTGAAGGGTAAAAATTGCACTGCCTGGAGTCAGAGGAGGTAGGCTAGATGACCCCCAGAGGGGCAGACGACCCTCAGTGCCGAGACTGAGCATTAGGGACGCGGAGCCGCAGTGTCGCAGTCTCGGGTGGGGATCCGGGTGAGCTGGGAGAACAAGGAGCTCTGGCTTGTCAGGGAAACTCTGAATCAAGGTGATTTCAGGGACACTTCAACAGGCGGCCCTCCATCGGGTCGTGGAGGACTTGAGGCTAGGCAGCAGGGACTGGAAGAAGTTCCAGGGACCCTTCTTTGGTCGTGGGCTGGGGTGACCAGGAGTAGTGGAGGCTCCTGGCAAAAGACGACAGGAATTAGGGGAAATAGAGTCGGAGAAGCAGAGAAGGTGAAAAAGGAGGAGACAGCAAGAAGGAAATGTGGAAAGAAAGAGCGAAAGGACAGAAGAAAGAACAGTGGAAAGGATGAGAGGGAGAGAGTAAAGAAGGAATGAAAAGAAAAAGAAAAGAGGGAAAGGAAAGAAGGAAGTGCATTATTTTTGCAACTTTTTGGAAAACCTAAAACTATTCTAAAATAGAAGATCAAAACGGGGTGGGAATACGGAAAAAAGCGAGGAGCAGCCGTCGGCCAGGTGGGACTGAAGGAGGCGGCCAGCAGTCGGGCGGCAGGATCCTGGAGGCTGGGAGGCGAGCTGGGAGGGCGTCGGGAGCGAAGCCGCGGCGGTCCTCGCCCAGGCGGTTGCTATCGCCGGGGCTGGGCTCTCGGGGCCAGGCGCGGAGCTGGGAGCGCCGCGTCGTGGGCGGCCGCCGGTCCGGCCCCGTCGCTGAGCTTCCCTCCCCCGGCGCGGGCGGCAGAGCGCGCCGCCCGGAAATCCCGGGGCGAATCGGTGGGCCAGAGGGAACGGCGACCCGCGGGGCTCTGGAGCACGCTAGGTTCTCAAGCCAAAGCTGAACCGCCCCCAACCCGGTGCGTTTCCTGCAGTGTCGGTGAAAGAGGAGCCCGAAGCCGAGGTGCGCATGGTGAACGGGAAGCCCAAGAAGGTCCGAAAGCCGCGCACCATCTACTCCAGCTACCAACTGGCCGCCCTGCAGCGTCGCTTCCAGAAGGCCCAGTACCTGGCGCTGCCCGAGCGCGCAGAGCTGGCCGCGCAGCTGGGCCTCACGCAGACACAGGTAGGTACTGGGAGATCGAGGGTCTCAGGACGGTGGCAGCATGCGGGGTCCCAGGATTCCCGAGGGCCCCCGAGCTTGGCTAACAAATAAGAGCTCTCTGCATGCTCGGGGAAACCCTTGCTGTTGGGACGAGGGACTCCCAAGTTTCAATTTTTGTTGCAATGTTGGGCGTTAGCACATGCTGTGTAAGTGTGAATGGCTGTGAACCTGTGCAAATGTGTATATCTATCCCAGAAAGAGATGAGCGCACCCCAGAATCCCTAGTTCCCAAGGTCCCCAGCATTGCTGGTCAAGTCATAGGAGTCCACGTTGTGTTTTTCCTCCATACTAGGCGGGTGCACCAAAGGGTGCGGGCGTGCATGTGTACAGGGTATATGTTTGCACACGTGTCAGGGTCTGCACAAACATGGGAATGCTCACATGAGGAGCGTGATCCTTCAAGAATGTCATTGCATACAAAAATGGAGGACAAGTATGTGACTGCACACCAGTGAGCAATACCAAAATGCATGCTTTTATCAAAACCCCACATTCCTGCCCAGCAACCAAATTCTCTACCCTGCATCTGCCAGGGGTCAAGAGGACAGGTTCCTGACCAAAGACAGATGGAGACTGGAAAGTGGAAGCCCCACCCCCATCTTCAGTGTGTCCCTAAAGTCCCCAACAGCCTGTCACTGCTCAGGGGAGGAGTGGCAGACACCAGGCTCCCTTCAGGTGTTGACAGGCGGGCCTTGGTTGTGGCTGGCTGCGTGGGGCCTAGTCCCCGGGAATCTGGGTCACCCAGTAGAGAAGCTGATTCATTGTTTGTACCAGTCATGGGGTGGGGAGCAGCAGGGGGAGGGGGAGATACCCCAAGGGAAATTTGGGGAATCATGGCTCACCTGCTCCAGAGTTCCCAGGTCCCCCCATTACCCAGCCTGAACCCAAATAACTTCAAGCCTGGATATGTGAATGTGGCTGCTCATGCTGTGGAGTGTTTATCTGGGTGTATCTATGAATGTGTGTAGCTTTATAGTCTGGCGTGTGTGTGAGTATAGAAATGCATGTGTGGGTGTATGTTTGTCTCTGTATCTGGGCACCTTTGTTTATGGGCATCTAAGGTGAACGAAATGCCACAAACTGAACACCTGTCTGGCTTGCACCCCCCACTGAAGGACCAGGCAGAAGGTGCCTCTGTCCTAGCCGACGCTCAGCAATCATGGAGGAGCTAGGGGCAAAGCCCCTGTTTCCCTTGCCCCTTCTTACAGGAAACAAAGAGGACTGCCCATGTCCCCCTTGGGCTTCCTTTTATTGAGTGCTTACTATATACTAGGCTGCTCTAAATTTTCATATGTCCTAACTTATTTGAGCCTCATAATGATCCTATGAGGTAGGAAATTGTGCTGTCACTCCCATTTTGCAGAGGAAGGTGAGACCAGAGAGGTTAAGCAACTTGCCCAAGGTCACACTTAGTGGCAGAATAGAACCTGGACCAGGCAGTCAAAAGTTCCTGGCCACAATTTTATCACAGATTGGGGTGGGGGGGAGATATTGGATTCTGAGGATGATGGGTTTCACCTGATTTTCTTAGGTACTAGCCTCACCTTCTCTGGGCTGAGTTCCCTATGGGGTTTTCCTGTGGCATTCTGAGAGGCTAACTAGGTACCCCTTTCTTGCCCTGCCCAGGTGAAAATCTGGTTCCAGAACCGTCGATCCAAGTTCAAGAAGCTCTACAAGAATGGGGAGGTGCCCCTCGAACACAGTCCCAACAACAGCGATTCCATGGCCTGCAACTCACCACCATCGCCAGCCCTCTGGGACACCTCTTCCCACTCAGCTCCGGCCACTGCCCGCAGTCAGCTACCCCCACCGCTCCCATATAGTGCCTCCCCCAGCTACCTGGACGACCCTACCAACTCCTGGTACCACGCACAGAACCTGAGTGGACCCCACTTACAGCAGCAGCCGCCTCAGCCAGCCACCCTGCACCATGCTTCCCCTGGGCCCCCGCCCAACCCTGGGGCTGTGTACTGAACACCCATCTGGCTTGCACCCCCACCGAAGGACCCCCAGGACCAGGCAGAAGGTGCCTCCGTCCTAGCCAACACTCAGGAATCATGGAGGAGCTAGGGGCAAAGCCCCTGTTTCCCCCGCCCCTTCTTCCAGGAAACAAGAACTTCCAGTGAAATTTGCATGGACCAAGGATGTCCCCTGAACTTCCCTCTCCTGCTTAGAACTGGGATACCCCTGCAGATATTGGGGCATGCCACCCCTGGAGGGACTGTGGTTCCCCTTCTGCTCCTGGAGCCTGGATTGGCTCTAAATGGCTCATCACCGCCACCTTCTAAGACGTAATAGTACTTGTTCCCCAGACTGGAGACCTTGGGCGTGGAGGAGCTGAGAGACCAGGTGTCATGGATCCTAACCCCTGCCAGACCTGGTTTCTCCTTAGCAACCTGGGCCTTCCCTCTCCTGCAAGGCCTTTCTGCCAAAAAAAGACATTGGACATCATGACTGGGCCTCAGGATGCGGACCTGACCTAACACCCCCACCCTGCACTTCTAGCCCTCGGTTAGGATTTGAGGGTTAAACCAAAGAAACCCCCCAAGTGAGGGAATCTGAATATCTGGGGCTTTCAAGGGAAGCATGAAAGGAGCCATCTCCCCACTCCAGTGTTGGGAGTTGGGGGGTCTCCCCTGTTTTCCCTAAGGACCCATTTCTTCTTCTGTGTACAGGACTTTGCACAACTTCGATGTTAAAAGCTGTTGAAAAATAGGAAAACAAAGGGCATTGTTAACAGATAGGACCAGGTCTCCCCTCGGGTGGGCAGCTACCGTCTGCCCCCGTCCCACCTCACCTCTTCTCCAGTAAGTTGGCAGTTTGGGCACCAAACTCCAAATCTCCAAGGAGACATACCAGGCAAGACAAGCCCCCAGACACCCCCTTTCCGGTGACCTTGGAAACAGATTGCTCCCGCTGAGCTGGAGAGTGCAGGGTGAGGTGTGTGGGAGAGGGGAAGGGAAGGGGGATACTCAGTGCCTTAGTGGGGAGGGCTGGCAGGGCCACTGGGTCCCTGGAGGGCTGGTGACACTGCCCCTCTCTGGCCCAGGCACCCCCCAAAGCTAACTTTCTTATACCCCTGATGTGGTAAAACATGGAGGAAATGGAGAGGTAAAAGACTGTAGCTTTATATATAGTATGTATTTTTTTTTTTTAAGAGCAAGGGAGAAAAGCGGCCCCCTCCCACTGCGGTTTCCTATTTATGTGGCCCTCTCCAACCTCCCTGTGTTTCGAGTTGAGAGAAAGAGGGATGTGGGCTCTGGCTGGATTGGGGTTTCGTGGGAGGTCAGGAGTGAGGAGAGAAATGGGGGGGGTCTCCGAGTCCCACCCCAGGGGCATAGGATCGAAGCCAGCTCTCACTGCCCCCCCCCCCCAGCCTTCTCATTTCTGCTTTCTTACTGGACCCATCTTTATATATAATGTTAATAAAAAAGAAAAGAACCACTGCACTCTTTGAATGGAGGCTGGAAGCAGGCAGCTCCTAGTAGGAGGCCTGGGAGTTGGGGAAGGGGTCTGATGGGGAGGAACCTGGGAGCTAAGAGGCTCCTGGGGGACAGGGCCTGTGGAGAACCCCTGCTAGAGAGCTGGGCCAGGCCTGGCCCCAGGTGGCAGGTGCTCCTAACCTGGTGTCGGCCCCCAGTCTGGGTAGGTCGGGGGAGGAGGCTGCCAGCTGCGGTCTCCCTGACTCCACTCTGCCTGGTGGCTTGGCGTTCCCTGTCAGCCAGCTGCCCTCCGCCACCACTGCCGCTGCTGCCAGGTCACCTCGGGGCTGCTCTTTGATCTTGAGCTCACACGCAGACATGCTTGCACACGCGTGTAAACCCCCTGCCTCCACGCCCAGGCGCTCCCAGCCCCTTGCCTGCTGTCTGTCCCTCCCAGCTTGGGTGAGGGTGGGGCTTCAGGCAGGGGGAACACCACTGCTCCCACAGCTGGCAGGGTCCCTGGCCACTGTGTTGACCTTCTTGGGGAGGCCTCAGGCTGCAGTCAGAATCGCTGCTGCTGACTGCCCGGGCCAGGGCTGCTGCCACCCTCCTCTTCCAGACCCCAATTGGTGGAGGCTTTGGAGATGAGAGCTGGGGGTGGCAGGAATGAATGGAGGGGTGTGTGAGTGCCACATCTGGGCAGAGGGGGACAGTATGAACATACACACACACGTGTTGCCGACCTGCTTCACTGTCTGATACACAAACACACATACCAGGACACACGGTGACATCTCTCTGTTTGTCACACTTGCATGCACTCCCACAGGAGGCCAATGGCTCATCGGCAGGCGCCGCCATAGACACAAACACACTTGAGACACCTTAGCATCACACGAACATAGCAAATCCAAAGCCATACACCCCGAGAGATCTAGGCACCCCACAGCACACCGGTGCACAAACACTCAGGTCACCCCGATGTCAGACACACGCACACGCGTGCACGCACAGGAGCACCAAGGCAGAGGCGGCTCCCTGTAATGGAAAGAGTCTTGTTTAGAAAATGGGCAACACCACCCAGCTCAGCCTGGCACTCCCAGGCAGGCCCTCAGTGTCCTCATCTGTCAAATGGGGATAACAATCCCCACCCTGTTGGCCTCTGGGGATCTTGTAAGGTACAAAGCAGAATAAGGATGAGAAGGCAGAAGGAGTGGGTCCCAGGCTTATGGAGGGGACTTGGCTGACTGTCACAGCCACACAGGGCTGGGTTCTCTGGCAGGGCTCCAGAGCTGGGGGACCTCAGCGCCTACTCCATCCCTCTCCCTCTTGGAAGCAGGCCCTCTCCTCCCCTGACGCCCGAGGGAGGCGGAAGGGAGAGGCTTCAGCCCACAGACGCCAGCGGGCTGGCAAGGGTTAAGGTGGCAGCTGCCAGGCGGGGCGAGCCGAGCAGTTTGGTTTGAGGGCTGCGTGCAGGCAGGAGCAGCGAGGCGGCAGCCGGGCAGACTCGCTGGAGACACTGCATTTTATTAGGGCTGGGCTGCCAGCAAGGGAGGGAGAGGGGGAAAAAGGGCAGAAAGAGAGGAAGGAAGGAGAGAGGCTGGGCGGGCGGGCGGCCTCGGGATGAAAGGATGTTGTAAGCTCCCTAATTCCTCCCTGCTCATCCCCGCTCCGTCAGGCTGGATTAACTGCCCAGGTGACCTCCTGTGGGGGTCAGCCCCACCCCGGACCTCCCCTTCCTCTTCCTCACCTCCACAACAGTCAGGTGCCCTCTTCACCGGACCTGGTGGAAGATGGGGGGGGGGGGCTTGGAGGGGGCCAGCAGAGTGCCCATGGGCTACTGAGCCTGTCCTCTGCCCGGCGCTTCTCCACTACACCCATTGCCTTGTGACAACCTTCAGGGAAGAAGGGGGGCAGGCTAGGGAACCCCAGTCTGCCCTGAGGGCCACCGTTGTCCAAGTCTTAGCAACAGCTGACATTTGCTAAACATCTACTCTGTGCCAGGCACTTGGCATGTGACCCTCACATAGCTTGGCAGGTGAGTTTTCAGATGAGAAAACTGAGGCTACGGTGGTAGAGGTGTGTAGCAGGCAAAGAGGTCCTGGTTCCATCCTCAAGGAGGAAAGAGGGAAGGAAGGAAGGAAGGGAGGGAGGGAGGGAGGGACAGAGACCTAGAACTAGAGAAGTTCAGTGTCTACCAAGGTCACAGAAGAAATACAACAGATATTGGCAAGGTTGGCATTTGAATCCAGGTCTAGACAGAGAATGATGCTTTTCTGCAACTCTTTACGATGTCGCCTTGGGACAGAGTGTCAAAGAGCTGGAGACTACAGCTCTACCCACTACACCACCCTCCCCCCAGCCCTCCCCCCTGGGTTCTTCCTTGGGAGGAGAATTAGAGCAAGAGGGCCTGGGCTTCTTACCCTGGGCAGGTCCTAAGAAAAGCTTAATGCTGTGGTCAGGAATGTGCACACAGAGTCAACTAACCTGGATTCGAATCCTGCCTTCCCCTACTTTGCTGGCGATGTGACCTTGGGCAAGTCACTTCACCTTTCTAAACTTACCTTCCTTTCCTGTAATGCAAGGATGATGCTACCTACCGAGCAGGGTAGGTGAGAGGTTTAAGTGGGATAATCTGAGTAAAATGCTTAACAGGATACCCAGCACTTGGTGAGTACTGCTCAGTTAATGGAAGTGGCCGTTGACCAGATGATCCAACCCTCCACACTCCCAGTTTAGAAGCAGCCCCTGGCAGCACTTGTCACATTGATTGATTGGTCCACCATCTCTAGGTGCACTCGAAAAGGAAAAAGTCAAACAATGTTTATTGAGCACCTGCTATATGCCAGGCAGAGATGGCCAAAGCCTGGGGAAGCGGAGCACAGACCCTGTGCTAGGAGCTTCAGGGCCAGAAGCAGACTTGGTCTGGGGGGCTCTACTGCTGGGCAGAGCAGACAGGGTCAGGGAGGATTAGACAAGACTGTCAGAGGAAAGGGCAGAGGCAACTGGTGGCAGGTGGGAAAGAAGCCTGAAAGGGCTTCACGGAAGAGGTGGCATTTGAATTATGTCTTGAAAGAAGATGGAAGCATGCCAGGCACATGTAGGGGTCTGGGGGACATGCTCTCTGGGGACCCTCCCTGCAGAGTGGCTTCCTTTTCAAGAGGGAGTGGGGTAAGAAGAAGGAGCCTTGAGGGGGAGTCTGAAAGCAGCAGCCCATGGTCTTGATGGGGCAGCGCTGAAGGCTGGGAGGTGCTGAGCCTGGGGTCCCTGGACCCTTTCCTAGATCCTGGGTCACAGAAAGATGGTGATCTGGCAGCTCTCAGCCCCTCAGGTGGGCCAGGAGCTGCCCTACACCTTGAGCTTGGGAAAGCAAGCTCCTTGTCTTTTGGGAGGAGACTCCTCCTGCTCTCCTGTCCTGCGGGGGGGTGGACAAGGAGGGTCTCTCACCCTGTCCCTGAGACCCCACCCAATTCAGCCTCTGTACACCATCCCTTGGGACCATACCACCACTGCCACTTACTCCCTTCTCCAGCAGAGCCACCAGAGACTGGG